AATGGTAATGTAAGTTTAAAGAAACTCATTAATGTAAGTAACATACCACTTCATAATTTAGTGCTAAAAATCCGTTATATAACAGAGAATCGGAGTGATTGCTTAGAAAAGTAATTAGTTTTCTAATTGCGGACTACTTTTAACGGAAAGCAGAAAGTCTGAAAGACATTATGATTTATATCATTTTTAATAAAACTTAATGACAAATGAATTTAGAATCTTCCACATGGTAAGTAGCGATTGTAGCCCGTCGAGACCTGCGAGCTTTCAACCAACTTTAAACAAAGAAGGTTACAGATGCGTTGTCATATCTGAGGACTCACTCACTCTCGATAGAGAAATCTAAATAAACATATCTGACCTAATTTTTGTCAAATATGGGATTAGAAACCGTGACCACATAACCACATGCGATTGCTGTCGAGCTAAAAACTACAAGATCAACGAGACAATCGTCGTTGTATTAACTTTAAATGAGTAGGTAAGAAACACTAAGATGTAATAACTCACTAGCTTTAACGGTACCGGCTCTCTATACTTGTCAAACCAAAACACAACAGTTCAATCTCTGGTATTTGGCAGCAATATTAGTTAAGAGAGTGGATCCTACCCTCAAAGGAACCTAACTGATAAAGAAATCCTACCAACCAGTAAAGTAAATAATTTTTAGAATTTATGATCTGTACCGATATGGACTTCTCTTGGGGGGCAACTCAATACACGCAAACAGAGCCTTCCTAAGACAGAAGAAATGTATAAACTGTGTAACTGTCCTCTTGAGAGCTGTAGACCCCTGTTTAAAGAAAAAAATATTCTCACTTTAACTAGGTTATATATTAGAAATCTGCGTTTTCGTTTAAAATAACTCAAAAAAATTGTTACTGTGCAAGTAAATAATAACTTTGTAGCAAAAAGAGAGCCAACAACTACTGATGCCATCTTGTAGAACTACATTATTCCACAGGAATCGTCTCATAAAGTTTATGAAGGTATATAATAAAGTTCCTAAAAATATTCGTGAATAGTCATTAAGGTAAAAGAAAACAGTTTAAAGTGGTGGATACAGCCTTCTGTGATATCAAAGAAAATATTGACCATACCTTTTTATTTTGCTTTTAATTTTTTATTAATTTTGCTTAATTAAGTACGTTACTATGTATCCAGGAATTAGCGCGATATTTCTCAATAGAATAAAAAGTTATGATTTCTTATATTTACGCGAACACTAAACATTGAAATAATACTAGTTTTTACGGAATTTATCGCGTATATTTAACTTTTTAAATACCCGACATTTCGAACTGTTATGTCCAACCCTAGTTAGATAAAAGCGCTGACTCGATTATTATATTTATTATAAAAGCCTAGAGTTTGAGGTAATCGAGGCAGTGCAGTTCCAACCCATATTAAGTGCATATCGCACACGCCGTTCGCGGCTTTTGTACATTTCTTGTATTAATTTAATATTGGGGAAATAAACCAAAAGAACTTCTGGGATTGGGTGTGAAAGTTTTTTTTAAAAACACCTTCAGAGCGGCCCTCCTAACAAATTTGGTGTCAGAAGTGGGATGTCGCAAGGTCTACCGGTACATCAGTAGCGTGGCATCCGAATCCTGGGAAACTCTGAAGTGAAAGATCGACAGTAAGTCTCCACCCCACGAGTGTGAGCCTGCATCATCAAAGCACCAACGAGGTCTCAGCCCCACGAGCTTGGGACACCATCGTCAACCCGAAGTTCATCAAGGCTGTTAGTCTACACCACCAGCGTGTGAGCCTGCCCTGAGCTGCTGCACTCCCATCGCACAACTACGTGGACGCCGCCGTCAAACGACTCCCTGGGTCTCACGGCAACGCGACTCCGCTGCACGTCATCGCAACACGACACCGGCATAGCAACCAATGTACACCGTAGTGATCGTGATATTGTAAGTTAGGTAACTTTAATTTAGCTATAATTTTATAATATTCCTCTTCTATTTCCTTACATTCTTTTGTCATTTGTCGTGTACAATAATATTCTCATTTTACCAATTTTGTATTTACTAACTCCTAAATCTTTCTAATTCCATATGCATAAGGTTAAAACTTTAAAGGACAAACCAGAAGAAATAGAAATGTCCGACAAAATTCCCTTATCCGTCCTTGTAAAATTCATCAAACCTTACAATGGTGATAGAGAATCACTTCCGGCTTTTCTCACAAATTGTGATAACGCCATAGCACTCGCGAACTCGGAACAGCAAGCAGTTTTATATCGTTATATCATATCCCAATTAGAAGGAAAAGCTCAAATCGCGTGCTCTCTAAAAACGTTTAATAGTTGGGATGAATTAAAACTATTTCTAAAAACTACCTTTGGCGAGAAGAAACACTCCACACACCTTTTAAATGAACTCCAAAATTGTAGGCAAGGAAATTCGGAAACAGTTATGCAATATTCACTTAGAATCGAATCTTGTTTAACGCGATTACAATCCGACATACATTACAGTTGCGAGAATAAGTCCGAGCTAGTAGGAAGAATTGCCGCTATGGAGGATTTAGCCCTCAACACATTTATATTAGGTCTAAATTCTAATTACGGATATATTGTTAGATGTCGAAACCCGAAAAATTTAAGCGAGGCAATTACGCATGCCATAGAAGAAGAAAAACTATTCATTCTGAGCAAAATATCTTCCAAATCTTATAAACAGTGTTCTATATGTCAAAAATTTGGTCATGATTCTTCTAACTGCTATAATCATAAAAAAAAACAATCTCGTCGAGCTTATTACGTTAATCCACAAAATAATAACCCTCATTCTAATTTTCATAATATTTCAAACAAAAATCCTATTAAAATATGCAGTTATTGTAAAAGTCCGGGACATATGATAAACGAATGTCGAAAGCGACAATATAACAATAGCCTTTGTCATAATATGCAACCAGACACTCGCACGACGAATACGTTACCAGTCCCACTCCCAGTACCAGTCCCAGTGCGCATGCACCTAATAGAAATAACATGCATTTATGTGACGCACAACCTTCTACCTCTAATGCCGATATTAGTAATGAAGATTTAAACTAAATCTGATTTCGGAAAAGTGCCTACCGAAATCGAAAGCATTTAAAGGCACAAATAATTATTGCTATTCTACTAATTCTTATACTAAATCTTATACTAAGCCTATATATAATGATAACGAATTTAGTTATAATTATCGTACAAAATATTCTTACAATACATCTCAGCGACGTCAAATGCCGCCGAGTCCTACTAAATCATGTAATTTAAAAAATACTATTTCTTATTCTAATTCTACACCTCGGGAACAACATCCGAGTCCATCTTTTACACAAAGTCAAAGTCATAATACCAATTATTTATTACCTCGGGAAAATCATCCCAGGACACCTCTGAATCAACATCAGAGTCTTAGAAATAATTTTAATGCTAATTCTTTTACTAATTCTTATACTAATTCTTGTACTAATTCTTATACTAATTCTGTCTCTCATAATGATACTATCTCTTATCCAAAATATACATCTCAAAAAGGAATTTCGAGTCATGCTAATCCTACTGATAATTCAATTAATAATAAAGGAAAAATACCAACATATAGCATGAACACATCGAATAAGAAAACATCACTACCTCATGTTTATTTTAGGTCGAATTTTTCGGTTCAACCCCTACGATTGTTACTCGACACAGGTGCAAGTGTCTCTATTATAAAAAAAATCGAGTTTAAATGGAAACTTTAAGCTTTCTGATGAAATCGTAAAACTCAAGGGTATAAACAGCACTCAATCTTGCAACGAAACATTAGGAACATTACTGTTAGATCTTATTTTAGATAATTTTTCCATAAAATATAAATTTCATGTCACATCCGACGATATTAATATTGATTATGACGGAATATTAGGAAGCGACTTTCTCAGTTATTTTAAAGTAAACATTGATTATCATACTTATTCACTTTATTTCAAAAATTCTATATCTGTGCCTATCCACTTTTCGGAACCTACATACATTATACCAGCGCGTAGCGAAACTGTTATCGAATGCTTCGTGTCAAATGACCCGTCCGAGTTGCGTCACCTTAAGGATGCACTCATACTAGATCAAATCGTTTGTAATGGTGTTTATTTAGCGAACTGCCTAGTAACTTTAAAAGCGAATAAAAGAGTTAATGTTTCGGTTTTAAACACAACTGAATCGCAAATTAAAATAAAAAATTTCAAAGTTAACTTAACACCAATTGACTTTAAAGAATATTCCAAATCTTTTGAATCTTATAATAATATAAATACTATTTCTACAACTTATTCTAATCGTATCCAACGCGTCTGCGAACAAATTCGTCATTCTCATTTAAACTCAGAGGAGAAAAAACTCTTATTAGATTGTTGCTCACAATACTCAGACATATTTTATCTTGAAGGAGATGACCTCACATGTACAAACGCGATCCAACACTCAATCAATACAGGAAACACCCCTCCTATTCATGTTAAGTCATATCGTTTTCCCGAATGTCATAAAGACGAAGTAGACGCACAATTAAGAAAGATGTTAAAACAAAATATTATTAAGCCGTCAATATCTCCGTGGAGCGCCCCAGTGTGGGTCGTGCCTAAGAAAATGGACGCATCGGGCAAAAAAGAAATGGCGCATTGTTATAGATTACAGGCGACTTAATGATGCGACCATAAACGAAGTTTATCCAATTCCTTTAATTAGCGATATATTAGATCAATTAGGGCATTCCAAATATTTTTCGACACTCGATTTAGTTTCCGGCTTCCATCAAATTCCTCTCAATCCTAAGGATGCTGAAAAGACTGGTTTTACTGTAACCAACATAAATGGCATTTCTGGTCATTTTGAATTCACTCGCATGCCTTTTGGATTAAAAAGTGCTGCAAATTCGTTCCAACGTCTCATGAATACCGTCCTTTCTGGTCTCCAAGGTCTCCACTGTTTCGTCTACCTAGATGACTGCATGATTTACAGCCACGATCTTCAAAGTCATGTGGAAAAATTACGTCTTGTTTTTGATAGGTTTCGAGACTTCAATTTAAAGCTACAACCAGACAAATGCGAATTCCTTCGACACGAAGTCACTTATTTAGGTCATGTAATAACCGACAAAGGTGTCACACCTAACCCTGACAAGGTGAAGGCAGTATCCGACTACCCTATTCCCAAAAATCCCAAGGAAATTAAATCATTTCTAGGTCTAGTGGGTTACTACCGCCGATTCATAGATAACTTCTCAAAAATTACAAAACCCCTTACGTCATTGTTAAAAAAAGATGTTAATTTTAATTGGACACAAGAACAAACCCAAGCTTTTAATTTGTTAAAGGAAAAACTAACTTCAGCTCCGTTACTTCAATACCCCGATTTTTCTCAACCATTCATTGTCACCACAGACGCCAGTAATTATGCTGTCGGCGCAATATTATCGCAAGGCCCTATCGGAAAAGACAAACCGATCGCGTATGCCTCAAGAACATTAAATAAACAGGAAGGCAATTACTCAACAACAGAAAAAGAATGTTTAGCTATACTCTTCGCCGTAAAAACATTCCGACCCTATATTTATGGTAGTAAGTTTAAAATAGTCACTGATCACAGACCTTTAGTCTGGCTTTTTAATGTCAAGGATCCAGGAAGTGGATTAATTCGTTGGCGCCTCAAGTTAGAGGAATATGACTATGAAATTTTTTATAAGCAAGGAAAACAAAATTCAAACGCCGATGCTCTTTCACGCATACCCATTCACGCCTTAAATTCAAATGTAGCCCTTAACAAACTCAAATACGAATCTTATTTTAAAAAACAATTTACTAGCTCCATTTCTACAAATACTGTAATCGAAGAACATCAAGAAGCGTTACACCTCTCTAAATTAAATAATATTGTCTGCCCCGTATCCCTCGACTTTGATGAATCTATTCCATATTGTAAAAATATTCTATCTCAGCTACAAAATCCTGAAGGTATAATAAACTCAGAACGAGAACCGTACACTATCTCTTGTGTTAAGCAAAATGATAAAATATACTATTTCTTATATACGAAAATTCACCATTTCGAAGAGTTAACATACCGAAATATATACAATTTACTAATGCAACTACGCGATAATATATTAACAGAAAATAGTCAAATCACTGATTTAGCCATTTCCGATTTTGCTGACCCGTTCTCTAAACTATCCTATACGAAAATATACAACATAATTGCTTACATATTTCATAATACTAACATTAAAATTCATATATACCGAAATCAAATTATTTACCCTACTCCTGCCGAAGTTCCACAAATTCTCAAAGAAAATCACGACTCAACAATTGCTGGTCACCCCGGAATTAAAAGAATGTTAAACCGTTTAAAGGATCTATATTTTTGGAAAAACATGCGTTCTGATATAGAAAGTTACGTGAAAAATTGTAAATTGTGTCAAGTAAATAAACCACTGAGATCATGTAATAAGGCTCCAATGGTGATAACCTCCACAAGTACAAAACCATTTGAAAGATTAGCTTTAGATATAGTCGGTCCGCTACCCGAAGCTGGCTTGCAAAACTTTAAATTTATATTAACTCTACAAGATGACCTAACCAAGTTTTTATGTGTATACCCAATGATAACTTCCAGCAGCGATGAAGTAGCTCGTACACTAGTTCATTTTATCTCATTATTTGGAATTCCTAAAACGATATTAACGGATCTCGGCACATGTTTCACATCGGAATTATTTAAACAGGTAACTCAAATATTTAAAATAAAACCCTTATATGCTACCCCCTATCATCCCCAAATAAATGGTGCCTTAGAACGTAGTCATGCTACACTCAAGGAATACCTGAAATCTTTCGTTAATGAAAATCAGAATGATTGGCATTGTTACTTAGCAACCGCAGTATTCTCTTACAACACTACCCCTCATACCACTACTACATATACACCCTATGAATTGCTATATGGGCATAAACCCACAATACCAAATTCTTTATATAATACGAGCAATGACACTACTTATCATGAATATATCCGCGCATTACAATACCGCATGAACTTTAGTCGATAAAAAGCATTAGAACACATAATAAAAAATAAAGAAACATCGAAAAATTATTATGACAAAAATAGTAAAGATATATCCTACAAAACAGGCGATATGGTTTACTTAAAATGCCATCACAGACTTCGCAAAGCCCTATCTCCTATCTGGAAAGGTCCTTATAAAATTATTAAATTAAATGGCAAACACAACGTAACCCTTCTCATAGGTCATAAGCACATGAAATACCATGTTAATGAAATTAAACCAGCTCATCCTTAATTTCACTTTATTTCAGGGCCATAAGCCACCAATTCAACGCTGAAACTCAAATTCTACCTATTTGTAATAGTCCAGGTATTTATTTCGATCAAATAACTACAATTAATTTTTATAATGATTTTTGGAATGTTGTAACTCATATAGACGTAGTATCAGTTAAGCCACATCTAGAGAATATACATTCGCTTATAATTAAAACTGCAACGCTCTGCGAAAACTTCCAACTCCATGGTTTCGCTGAATGTAATGATATCATAAGTCCTATTGAAGTATTATTAAATTCTAATTTTGCTAAATTCGAATCTCTTTCGCATATAGTCCCTACCGAGGAACAAACAAGGCATAAACGAGCTTTAGAATTCGGTGGAGAAATTTTGAAATTCTTTTTTTGGAACTTTAGATGCTGATGATGCACGAAAATACGATGCAGCCATTAGCGCTTGTCAAAATAGCGAATCCGAACTTTTAAAATTAATGAAGGATAATATTCACATAATTAAATCTTCTATTAATGTATTTAACTCAACAATATATAAATTAAATATGAATGAAAATAAATTAAATTCTCAAATAAATTCTTTAAATATTGTATTATCCCAAATTGTCAGAAATAATAATCAATTATCACATATTTTTAAAATATATGCTTTACTTAATATAATAGAAAGCTCTTTAGCCACTATTTCTAATTTCTTGGATAATGTACTAAACTCTATCTTATTTTCTAAAGCAAACATTCTACATCCTAGTGTAATAGCTCCTACGAACTTATTTCGCCAGCTTTTAAAACAGAGTAATTATATAAACAAGCGATTAGATTTTCCAGTACCATTAACGATTGAAAATATACATACTTTGATAGATATTTCAAAACTCACATCTTTTTATTATAATAGAAGAATAATTTTCATATTACGCATACCACTGATTTCTTCTTTAAAGTTCACCTTATACAAATGCATACCTTTACCAACCCCTCATAATCCTAATGATCCTAACTCTTTTGCTCTAATCCAACCTACCAAGCCTTATCTTGGAATAACAGAAGATAGACTTAGTTATAGTTTGCTAGATAATTTAAACGACTGTAATATTATTAATAATGATTATTCTATATGTCCTTTAATTTCTATATTTTCTACAATAAAGAATCCATGTTGTGAAACAAAATTGTTAACCGAAGTAACGTTATCTTTACCACATCAATGTAACTCTAAACTTTTATATGGACAAATCGATGTATGGTATAAAATAAATAATAATAAGTTTATCTATGTACAGTCTGAGAAATGTAAATTAACTATAAAATGTAATAATATAATACAAGATTTCACTATTTTAGGGACAGGTATCCTAAGTTTAAACGAAAGCTGTATTGGTTTCTCTAAGACAATTCAATTAATGCCATCTACAACTAAATCTATTAAAATCAAAAATAAAATGAATTTAAACTTTAATATTACAGAAGACGATTGTTGTAATAAAGAAATTTTAAACAAATCAATTCCATACTTATCTCCTATATCTTTAACTAGCCTAGACATGGAAACTCTGAAATATTCTTACCATTCCTTAAATAACTTAGAAAATGAGATCAATAGAGTTCAAGAACAATCTCACATAATAAAATATGGTAAATACTATTCATCATTTACATACTTTTTGATTATTTGCATAATTTTATATATTTCCTATAAAATATTTTGTTGCTCTATTAAGAGAAATAATGATTCTTGCCGCTGCATACAAATATTTAATCAGTGCAATACACGACGGATTGTTAAACACGAATCGAAAGTTAGTAATTCTATTGAGTTAACTGAAGTTTCATCATCAGACGATGATAGAAAAGATTCTATATCCTTACCTAATATGCCAGTGCAAAACCAAATGAAAAGAACATTCGGTAAATTTCACTTATCAAATCGAAACTTATGTAATAATTAAAAACTATATTACTTTACTATACTTATTTCATAAAGCATTATGTTACATTAGAATATAAGTTTATATTTTGTTTTATACACTGTGTCTTAGATATTAATATTACTAAATGTTTGTATTTGAAATAAAAAATAAATCTTAGCATTAATACACTGAATCTTCTACTATTTCATTATTCACTGAATCTTATAAAAAATACTATATTACTAGTTCATAATCTCAATAAATAATTTCTTATAATTTTGTGTAGATATTGTTTAAGAATAGTTTAATTTTACTATGCTTTTGTATCAATTCAATTTGATTTTATAATAATAACAAATAATTGAAACAATTCTATTTTACAATTATTTTTGTATTCAAATTATTTTTTTATTTCCACTGTATCGTTTGTGAGACTCTGCTCATCCCTTATTTAAAAGAAGGATGAGCTCCGTCAAAAAGGGGGGGAGATGTTATGTCCAACCCTAGTTAGATAAAAGCGCTGACTCGATTATTATATTTATTATAAAAGCCTAGAGTTTGAGGTAATCGAGGCAGTGCAGTTCCAACCCATATTAAGTGCATATCGCACACGCCGTTCGCGGCTTTTGTACATTTCTTGTATTAATTTAATATTGGGGAAATAAACCAAAAGAACTTCTGGGATTGGGTGTGAAAGTTTTTTTTAAAAACACCTTCAGAGCGGCCCTCCTAACAGAACGCTTTACAGCTGTAAAGCGTTCGAAATGTCGAACATAAATGTTAATTTCGAAATGTCGAACATAAATAAACAAAATGTCGAAATAAAAAGTTATTTCTTAATTTTGTTATGTTGTTCTAAAAACATAAATGTAATCATTACAAAGTCGTAGTTACATACGGGTCTATTGTTTGTGTTTATTTCTAATTTTTGTTTATTAGAAAACTAACACTTATTTAAAATAACTATAATCAAAAGATTATATTTATTTTAAATAAGTGTTTCGCATGCCACGAAAGGCTAAATATGTTGACACAAATATCCTATCTGTACCCATGTTTTTACGAAATAAATGATTGATTGGTCGCTTAATTGAATCAAAGTAACCGATATACCCTAGTGGATTAGTAAGCTTAAGTGGTAGGGTGCTCCCCACATGAGTGTCGTACTGGTAAGAGATGCAGGAATTCGATGGATAGGTGGCCCAACATTGTGCTCAGTCAGCTTTATGTCAGCTTCAACATTGAGACCCAACAAAACTATTTATTCAAACTGTTAATTAACAAACTGAAAATCACGCTTGAATTCATAGTTTATATTTTTCTCGACTCTTTCAAAATAAACTGGATTTTAACAAGAAAGTTTATCAACTCATAAATGTTAAACAAAATTATATTGATTGATCACTTGGCCGAAATTATAGCTATATTATCTTTCTTTTTTTAACTAACCTAACACTCAGAGTTTATCCTGTACTGTGGAGGTTTTTATGTATACAATAAATCAATTACACGTTCACAAACATACTATTTCATGGAAGAACTTAAAATCAGTTACTTATTGAGTTTTTTTTTTCAAGAAATTCTCAAAAGCAGCCCGGAGTCGGGAAGTTAGCGGTGCTTCACCCCCGTGCCTCGAAGAGCACGTAAAGCCGTTGGTCCTGCGCCTGTCTTTAGATCTCTTTCCGATCGAGTCGGATTACTATCCTATCGCACTTGTCCGGATATTCCCGTCCTTTCCATCACACTGCATTATGCTGTTTTTTTTAAGGCTGGTATTCTTTTGGTATTGTTTGAACTGTTTCACTATGGTGGTAACCTAAGCGTCGGCCATATCTAAAACATTTTATTTATGAAGTATACTTACTTTAAGAAAAAGAAACGAAAAAGAACTCTTTTCCATGGGAAGAACCGCTTGCGAAAAATATTAGCAAAAGGTGACTAATTTAGCAAAATACTGCTGTAATATTTATTTATGAATGAATTACTTATTCGTTAGTGATTATACACAACACAATGCATAATATAAAGAAATAAAAACTTCGAAGCTAACAAAAAATAAATATCATTACACACAAATAAATTGAATTGAAGTAACGCTATGGCATCAGACTCAGATACCGTAAAAAGTTAAATGGACTAAAATAAAAATCTGATAACCCTATATTACAAGTTGATTAAAACTAAAAAAAAGAATAATGTAAAAAATAAACCATTTTATTTATTAGTAAATTTCTGGATTTAGACAACAGCACCTCCTACCGATAATCTGTGAAAGTAAAAAAATCATTTCAAATTTTATTATTATATAATGCCTTTAAATTATTGTGATAACCACAGTGCTGAATTTGCAAGACTTGTTTATGCATTTTCAAGAAAATAGCTCACTTCGTCATGGTAGGAAACGTCTCTGGGTTTCATTTGTTGTTTCGAATGTTTAAGAGAGGCGGGATCACTTATAATAAAATAGGCACACTTTTCTGCAATAAAAGATAAAACCATAAAAGTAAAACTCT